TATGTGTTCACCAACCTTGTCGAGGTTGCGCCATTCATTAAGTAAGTTCTCAATGAACTTGTTTCAATACGACGTCACTATTCTATATCGAACCCCATTGATTCTCTTTGGTACAGGGAATTTGTTCATCAAGAGTGGCATCAATCAAGGGATCCTACCCCGCACAAACATGATACCCTTCTTTCAGAGGGTGCGGGAGCTGGGAGGCCTGATTTCATTTCTTGGTTCAAACAAAAGGTCGTACGTTTGTCGATATTCCTTAGTAGCTCGTATGTTCCAATAGTATAACGATGTATCATGCTTGAGCTTGCAGGCGCAAACCAATGCGTCCATGAGTGATGAGTTGAGACAGGTTGCAAACGGCTTCAAGTTAAGGGTGAAGTCATATACCGGTTATGACGTGAACGGATATCGCTTCCACACGTCAAGACACGAGCAGACTCGGCCCGGTCGGAAAACCACCAACAGCCAAGTTTTTACGCCGGGCACTAATGGCGTCGAATACTACGGAATAATTGAGGAGATCTATGAACTTGAATATGAGGGCCGGGTACCTCTTACTCCTATCATATTCAAGTGCCACTGGTTTGATCCTGCACGAACGAGACAGACCCCTCATCTTGGGCTAGTCGAGATTAGGCATGATTCCGTCTATAAAGGAAAATATGTCTATATTGTGGCTCAACAGGCCGTGCATGTGTATCATACGCCATACGCGTGCTAAGACAAAGACCATCTTAAGGGTTGGTCAATTGTGCACCGGTATCTTTGCACAGTAACTACCTGTTCCAAACGATGAAGATTACACCTTCGACAACCTGTTCTAAACGATGAAGATTACACCTTCGACACAAACACATATGATGGAGAGTTCTATCAAGCAGATGGGCTACAATGGAGCTTTGAGATAGTCTTACCCGGTGTGACAACCGCCATGGAAGTAGACAATGAAACGGTTGATGACGAGGACCCTGGAGATGTAGTGCTAAATCCGAAGGACATTCAAATGCTTGAGCGATTCCATTTAGGCAAAGACAATGAAGAAGACACAGAACCTTTGAATAGTGTTGCCCATTTGGACAATTTTGACAGTGATGGTGAGACATATGACCCCAATCATGAAGATTATTCCTAAACCTTGTAATACTATGTTTTTTATTAAATTTTGTTATGTTTATTCATTTTGAACTATTTGACATGTATGTACTAACGCTTGTTGTTCATTCTTTGTACATTGCAGGTGACAGAACAAAGATGGTGGGCAACCGTTCACCGAGGAAGGTGCTCTCGGTGTACCAGAGGCTACGCCCTCCTGATGGAGGCGAGGGGACGTCTTTGCCCCCAGCGGCGAGAGCAGACTCGGGTCACCCTAGCATGGGGAGGGGGAGGGGGAGGGGTCGCCCCAGGAGGGACCCGCCTCCTCCCCTGGCTCTCGACCAGCCGGAGGACCCGTATCCTACCCTGGAGGACCACGTGGCGGCCACGGGCACGACCACAGACACTCCGTCGGGGGACGAGGGGACTCAGCAGACGGAGGACAGTTCTGCTCAGTCGGCTCCCTACCTACGAGGTCCCACAAGCCTTCCTCTGGTTCCGCTTCCTGACCGACGCCCACTGGTTCGTCCTGTGGGAAGAAGGTAAGTAACTATAGATGTTATCACTAGTACTTCATATGATATGTTGAAAATCAAAAGAGAAACTGATAATTTTTTGTAATCACTTATGCAGGGGCTAGCTAGTTCTGTCGGGTGCTCTTGACCCCCCACGCACCCCCGCTACCGTCCTGGGATGTCTATGCAGGAAACACTTCCCCGGCCTTGTGGACTTGAAAGAGGGAAGGTGGGAGCCAGCCTGGTCGTGGGACAGGTACAAGCTCGGCTCGGATGACGAGCAGGACAACAAGCAGGAGCAGGTTTTGGTGGACTTTTGGGTAAGTGTCTCACAACATAGCTCAATACATCTCCTCCATTGCTTAAGTCTTTTATTGAAATAATGAACGGATACATCATGTTTGTATGTAGAGGTACTTCAAGGCCGAAGAAGGTAGAGAGACCTTGGCAGATCAGACGGCACATAGAGCCTGTAAGAAGTACGTTGGCGACATGATTCTCGAGGCGCGACTCTAGGCCCACGTCGACTACTATAGGTCCATCAAGAAAGAGCCCCTCAACAAAACCGACGCAAGAAAGGTGGCGCTGACCAAGGAGCAGTACCTTCAGGTAGGTGAATAATATTGATTCGTTTTGAGATTTAGTAGGTCCAGAATTGATCTTCTTATATGTCAAACACTTGATGATGTGTAGGTGCCGGCCTTGTGGTGCATGTCGCTTAGATCGGCATGGTCGAGGATCATGCACAGGTACCTTGACCCGTCGTACATCGCAAAGCATGAGCAAGGCAAGCGGAAGCGGGCACTGAGGACCGCTCCAACTCACCACCAAGGCAGCCGCAACCTCCCCGCATTCAAGCGGGCACTTGTACGAGATGTTATTTATCTATTCTAACGCTCAATTTTGCCTGATTTCTAATCATCTTGCCGTCTTTCTCGCAGGAGGTGGCACACCCGGATGTGCCGGTGTCGAAGTTTGGGGCATGGGCTGTGTCCCACATGGGCCCGGTGAAATCCAGTGTCATCTTCAACCCGGATGCCCCTGCCCAGGTTTACTCTGACCCGAGCGTCCACACTAAGGTCAGAGACTATACGGAGGCGGTTAGGGTGCTATGTGGCTCAGCTCACAATCTGAGCACTGAGCCCCTTGAGACAGAGGTGATCGTGAGGCTGGGGCAAGGTAGGAAGCACGGGCGGTTGTGGATTGCAGATGGCGCCGACTCCTCGAGCTCTGCACCCTCTCTCTCCGACGTGAGGGCACGGAGCATGGCCAGAAGCCTTCCCATACGTGCACGGCCTACTCCAACACTGTCGCGGTTCGACGAACTTCAGGTAATTCCGGTTTCACTCGTTGTACATTGAACGTTACACACATTGATCAGATTTGCAATACTGAAACATGTGATTGAAACATTGTCGCTGGCAGAGACAAGGGAGACGCAAGCGCACCTGACCGCAGAGCTGGAGGCCATGAAGAAGCAGATGGCGGACATGTATCAGATCATGCAAACCATCGGGCAAGCATTGGGTGTCCAAGTGTAGTTGCCAGCTCCAGCTCCAGTTCTACACTTCACTCCTGTGAGTATGAAAGTTTAATGCGTTCGTGCCATTGGGATTGTCGGCCTTCGTGCCGTTGTGATTTTTGGCCTTCGTGCCGTTGGGATTGTCGGCCTTCGTGCCATTTTGATTGTCGGCCTTCGTGCCGTTGTTTCTTGCAGGTTGGAAACCTCCCCGTGCAGGGGAGGTGCTGCCGAAATTTTCAATTTTGAGTCTAACACATGTAATCTCTTCTCTTTTGTGCAGCCTCCGTTGACGGGTTCAAACAATCCCGCTAGCATGTCACCGGCGGCTGATCACGTCAACCCTTCGCCGTAGTCCGGTCCTTCACCGCTGTCCAGGGGGCCACACCTGCAGTCTCCATCGCCGCAGTAGGGATGTTGAACTTGTAATAATAAACTTGTGATGTTGAACTTTGGTGCATTTATGATGGATTTTCGATGTATTTATTAAATATGCGTGTGCTTGTGATATATAATGCATGTTGGTGATATAGATGTGACGATTGATATATATATATATATATATATATATATTGTCTGTTGTAATGGAATGTAAAAAAAATTGGAATTCTCGGGGTCTTTGCCGAGTGCCATGGGCAAGGCACTCGGCAAAGATTTTTCAAAAAAAAAAATCTTTGCCGAGTGCCTCGCCGCGGCACTCGGCAAAGTATTTTTAAAAAAATCCAGAAATTCTTTGCCGAGTGCATAAACAGGGACACTCGGCAAAGAAATTATTAAAAAAAAATAAAAAAAACTTTGTCGAGTGCCTGGGCAGGGGCACTTGGTAAAGTAATTTTTTAAAAAAAATAAAAAAAACTTTGCCGAGTGCCTGCGCAGGCGCACTCGGCAAAATACCTTTTTAGAAAAAATAAAAAAAACTTTGCCGAGTGCCTGGTGGGGCACTCGGCAAAATAATTTTAATTTTTTTTTTGCCGAGTGCTGGTTCGAGCACTCGGCAAAATAACCGTTAACGGCCGGTGCGCAACGACCGAAAATATTTTGCCGAGTGCCGCGCCAAGCACTCAGCAAAATTGTTTTTTTATTTTGCCGAGTGCCCCGATAAAAAGCACTCGGCAAAGACCCTTTGCCGAGAAAAATTTTGCCGAGCGGACTTTGTCGAGTGCTACACTCGGCAAAGCTTTTGCCGAGTGCAACGGGCTCTTTGCCGAGTGTAAAAGCCGTGGCCTCCGGTAGGGAAAATACTGTTAATAAAGTGGAAAAAGAAGAAGAGGGCAGGCATCGCTAGTAGCTCTTCGCTTCATAAATCCAACGAACATAGACAAGAATTTTTCCATTTCGAATCCATTATCAAACAGATGCGCGCTCTAAGCACATCCGTTATCAAACAAATGCACTAAATACTGGAGGCAAACCATCTAGATCAAATAATGGAATAATCTATCAAACAAATGCGCTAAATACATCAATTATCAAACAACTGCGGTAAATACTGGAGACACAACATCTAGATCAAATAGTACAATAGTTGAAAATAAATCGAACAGCTGCCACCATGGCCAGAAAGTACATTGCATTATTGCAATAAGCACGAACTCAGCGTTTTACATTAACAAATGTTCAGGAATATACTCAAAACTGCAACAGAAATAGTTTTGGAACATCAAACTAATGAGAGATGGGAATCAGTTTGCACAATGCCGCCTCCCATCAAGGAGACATTATTGATGAACATAAAAGAGATGCAGAAGAAAAGCTAGCTTACTCTCACTTCATCTACCGAGGTTGTAATATCGATCGATCTGAAGCATGAACTGCTGATCGATCAACATCAACTCCAACCAAGGTCCACAGGAGGTCACCACCGATCGAGCCTACAGCCCCTGGAAGAAAGGCGGTTGCTCTGGTTCATCTTCATGATCACCGGCATTGCAATCCTGTATCTCAAAGAACGCATGCCGAACGAGGCTTTCCTTGAAGGTATACGGAGCAATCTTGAGATGGCGGACATTATCGCAAGGGAAGCTTTCCAGCAGAGTCCCATTCATGTCATAGTGCACCAGCTTCTGCTCTGGGGTGACTATCACAACTCCCTCTTCTGACATGAAGAACATACGCCACAACTCATCGAACGAGAAGGTGCTGACCTTCACCGCCGGCAGCCGGATCCGGTGCATGCAGACCCAGATCTCGTTCTCGTAATCCTTGAGAAGCCAGAGCTCGACCATTGTGACATTGTTGCCGCAGCTAACCATGGCGAGCTCGTCACCCACCGCAACCAACGACATGTGCTCCCGAACCACAGGAGGGCACATAACCGTGAGAACCTCGGTGGTCGTGTTGAACGCCAGTATCCCGTAGCCTTCCGTCTGCCGCGGCATCCAGTGGAGGTGGCCGCGGAGCAGGACCGGCGGGCCATACGGCTGTCCTCTGAACTTGTACCCATCTTTCTCCGCCGGCAGGCCGATTCCCCTCCCTCTCCTGGAGTCCGGCACCATGATGTAGTAGTCCTCGCCGGGCCACTGGTCCCGGTAGAACAAGGCCCGGTACTCTCCGGTGGGGTCGTGGCGGTAGAAGCCGGCGAACCACGAGGCGCGGAGCGGCGTCGGGAGGCGCGTCCACTGGTGCGTCGCCGGGTTGCAGACGTAGAAGCGGTCCTCGAAGCTGAGGAGGAGGAGGCCGTCGCAGGAGCCGAGGATGTGGAAGCCGCCGGCGCCGGCGCCGCACCGCTCCTCCTTGTCGGTGAACCGGACGACGGGACGGAAACTGCCGGCGGCGCCGAGGTCGAAGGCGTCGACGCAGCAGTCCACGGGGCTCGTCTCCGTCTCCGTCTCCGCTTTTGTACCGGCGGCGCCGCGGAGGAAGGAGGCGAGGGGCAGCGTCGGCTGGAGGCGGTGGTGGTCGACGGCAAACTCGCGGTCGGAGACGATCCGGAGCCAGTCCTTGCAAACGGCGCGGCAGCGGTGGACGTACCAGGAAGGCAGGTAGAGGAGGATGTTCCGGACGAGCTCCTCGGGCAAGTGCGGGGCCACGGATCCAGAGGCCGACGCGGCCTGCTGCCTCTTCCTCGGCCCCGCGGTGCTCTCCATGGACGCCAACTCCGCCGACGAACGCCGGCCGCGCTACGATCCTGCAAAACCTCTGACGCGTTCGATCGTGAGCGACGAAATGGTTTCAAATCTCCACAGATTTTGAGGGGGGGGGGGTCCGGCACCTCGAAACAACACGAATGATGCCGGAATCAAGAGGAACCTTTGCCTCCCTCCCGGCCTCCCTCGAAATCGTCTTCCTCCCCACGACGCTCACATCACAGCACGAGGAAGGGGAGCGACGCGTTTGGTAGGATATGTATGACCTGGCGGAGCGCTGGAGGACACCAGCCACCTGCGCGTTGTATATGGTGTGAAAACACACGCGGTCCAGTAACGGTATGCCCGCGAGCGAACATGTTTCCTCGCGTGGGCCTGTTGCGCTGATGTAATACCATTGTATAATAGTAGTAGATATCCATTGAGATTTGTACAGGGTTGTATAAGGCCTTGTTTGGTTCAAATTTTTTTTTATCTTTTTTACCAAAACTATCTCACAGATATAGATGACAGATAGCTACTGGTTAGCTGGACTAAAAGATAACAACTATCTCACTAGTTAGATCAAATAAGATAATAGCAGCTAATAGATAACAACTATCTCACTAGATGGACCAAATGAGATAATAGCAGCTAATAGGTGGACCAACAACCCAACCTTCAATTAGCTGTGCACCCTCCTAGATAATAATTAAGTAGCTAGCCAATAGTTAGCTAGCTCATATTAGCTAGCTACTATTATCAGCTAATGAATCCAAATATAGCCTAAGACTGATGTTAGATCATCTCCTAGAGATTCTTTATATCCTATCTAATTTATAGGAATAGAGATTTTGGTGAAAAAATGCCCCCTCCCAACGAGCCTCTTTAATTAGATCTTCAAATTAAATATAGATATCCTCTATTTCAGATTTTTCGCTAGTCAAAGACTGAGAGCGAGGATGACTCTCTAGAGTGTACACAAGATATAGAAAAGCTGTTGAAGGGTACAAAAATATAAAAAATGAATTTTACTCAAAAGACTCTCTAAATGATAATTTAGAGAGTAAATTTTAGAATAACTTTTGGAGGTGCTCTTAGCTTATTGTATATTTGTATTCCTTTGTATTCCACATGATACAAATCTCAGTGTAGACCCAAGGCCACCTACACAAGAACATAGGTCATAGAAAATTTTACTTTTCTGCTCCACAAGTCGGCTTGGAATTGAAACAACCGACTATGGGTGCCTTCCCGCTCTCTTCTTTTTTCACAATTTATTGTTCTTATTACAAGTCACTCCAAATTTTATTGTGCATTGTACGGAACCCAATATATATTGAAATCGGACTTCGTGTCATCGCTTTATGGTGCCAATGTATGAATATGGGTCATGAATTTTTAGTTTAGAAAATATAAAAGCAGGACGAATAAAAGGTAGTTTGGGAAAAGAAAAAAAAAGCAGATTTAGAAAAAAACGATTTGCTCTTTGATATTAGATAGATATAGAGACAGGGATATAATATGAGTTTATAGTTGATGGGGTTAAGATTAGTTTTGTAACTAGCTTCATTTAATAAAAAAATAAAAACCATGTAAAATAAGAGTTGTTTGCAATGCCCCAAGGCTCGTGCCTCCATCTCTCCTACATTGGCTGCATGCGTGTTTGTCTATTTATTACGTAATTCCTTATGGGTGATTGGTCTTTACACGACCTGCCCATGACCCATGACATGGGTTATGGCACCTTAGCTTTCAGTCCTTCCTTACAACATTGTCTTTCTTACCACTAGCCATCTTATGCTCACACTGCCATCTCGCATCTATTCACCCTCATGCTATCCTCCTCTTTTGTCTCCAATAGCTCCCTTTCCGCAAGATGTGCCACTATCGTACACCATGGGCCTAATCTAGCCCCTTTGAGGATGTTAGCATGAAGCCACCTACCCACCTCCACCTCCATTGGCCAACCAATGCTCCTTCACTACCATCGATTAGAACAACACGACATGACAGTTTCCTATCCACAACCTGCCATCGTTGTCGGCTATCAACTGCCTAATGATCTTTCTCCTGGGAGCCACAAAATCACCAAAAGTAACAACTTCAACTTGGATCCTAACCCTAACCCAATTCACCTGTGTTAGAGCTAATGCTGTAGCAATTGAAAAGACAAAGAAGGAGAAACACAATGTTTCTGGTTGCTCATTAGGCTTTCTATGTTCTTTGTTTTAAATAGAAAAATATCATTAAATTTTTCATTTCATATAGATCTCCATGGCATGAAGTTAGTTTTGCGTTTTCCTACCTCTATTGCCGCCCTAAATCATCCTGCTTGGTAGCACATAAGGTCTACCTCCTTTGTTGCACCCCTCGCCTCCTCCATAAGATGATCCACTTGATTCATTGCGGTGCTACGAACAATGTGATTTTTGTCTAACCACTAGCTTTATCATACTTTTTCCAAGCTTGGTGCACTATTGTCATTATTGAGACTACAATGGAAGAATATATGTGGGTCGCAACAGAGCCGGTTTCCCTATATTCAACCTGCAAGCAAGGGCATTGTTTTGGCAAAAATCTCATGAGCAGAGAGGTCCATTGTTTCTAGTTTTAACTGTCATGGTGTATTACAGAGGAACAAGACTATTTATCCTTAATGTTTTTTCATTAGACTTCTGTGGTGACAGTGAAGTGATTTCTTTTTAGCCTAGTCTAGAAATAATAAAATCATCATCAGTACATACATATTGGAGGCGTTTAATGGGGAGTTAGTTCATTTTTCACATCAACCCACGTGTATTTGGAGGGAATGAATTTTCAAACAAACCCATAGAAGTAGTAACATCTAATGTTGATCATGGTGTGCGCTTATATATGTCATATTCAATTAAAACAAATAGTTTAGTCTGTTCTTAGTTTCCAATTATTATGAGATACATGTGGTATGACTTTGTCAGATCTAAGCTATAACTGAAAAAAGGATAAATCTCTACAATGTTGTGTTTAATTTGTGCAGACAATTTTGAATAACTTTTGTGTGGATGATGACATCATCTCAGCTGACTTAGAGACAATGATCAACACTGCACTAGAGATGCAAAATCCATTACACTCCGAGAGGCAAGAGTCAGAGATTGCCCTCAACATCTATAATCAATCAATCCAGGAGCTGACCTAAATCCATTCATCTGTAGATTTTCAATTTACACAGTTGGATTTTCAAAGAGTTAATTTCATATGTCTACATTATCCTTGTATAAAATTCTCGATAAGTTGGAGAGAGAATTTTTCATTATTCATCACTTTTACCTTTGATTGGTTTCTTGCTATTTAAGAAGTGAACCTGAGTTCAAGCTTAGAGTAATATATTGATGCAAGTGCTCCTTCTTGATGGTACGACTGATCCCAATCCACAATATTTTGTTCATATCGAGGTTTCCATGTCAATGGAGGACATCAAATTCATAGTAAGAAACAATCTCTATAGTGCATAGTATTATATCACAATATCTAAGTTCAAAAAAATTATATCACAATATCTGATATGATCAGACTAACTAATTGTTTCATATATTGTGCTTATGTGGTGGGTTCAAGTTTTTGAATGTAATGCCAAATTATTGGATTTCGTGCCAAAATTGTATCTCACTCCCTTGCATAATTTATGCTCAAAACATTTACATGGCATCTAATAAATGTACATGATACTCTCTCTATTGGGAGTAGCCTGATGTTTTATCCAAGACAACACCATATAGTAGTAATAAGAGAAATGTTAAGTTATTGTGTCTCTTCTAGGGGGTACAAATCTAAGTATAGATCGAAGGTCATATTCACAATATCATATGCCCTTGAGAGAAAATTCTACTTTAATTTCTCGACCATGATTTGGCTTGGAAGCAACTACCTATGGGTGTGCCCACTCTCTTTTTGGCTATTTATCATTCTTACATCCCAATTTAAATTTTATCTATTATATTATATATTTCTAAAGTTTGGAACAAAATAAAATTTATAAATACCATCGTAGCATCAATTAGGGAAAAACAAATATGAGACCCATTAAAAATAAGGGTTGTATTTATATCTATGGTATGGCAATGTGGAGAGGTTCATGCCTGTCTCTCCTTCTGGTTGTAACTAGGCTAGATTCCCTTTAGCCCACATCACATTGCTTTACCAAAAAAATACACGAGCAGAGGGGTCTGTCGTTTCTAATTGTATTGCAATATAATGCGCTGAGGAATGAGAGGAAAGCATCCGCAAACATTGTTGCATTAGACCTTTTGTGGTGATGGTAAAGTGATTTCTTTTCATGCCACATATGGGAACAAAATAATCCTCACTAATCCATAGGTGTTGGAAGGGTCTAAGGAGAAATTAGTTTATTTTCCACTCAATCCTCACTTGTATTAGGAGGGAATGGATTTATCCAAACAAACACTCTAGAGTATCTATATATGTATCCACATGAGATCATGGTGTGTGTACATGCCATGTTCCATTGAAACAAACAAATCAATCTCTTCTTAATTAGCTATTTCTACGAAATATATGTGGCCAAGCTCCAAAACAAGTGAAAAGTGAAACAAGTGAAAAGTGGAGAAATCTTTACACATATTGTTTTGAATTTTTGTGCCTGCTCTTTCAATAACCTTGCTATGGATGGAAACATCTATCCTGTGTTGGCGATGTTGATCAACACTACGCCGGAGATATAGAAGCCATTCCACTTTGAGAGGCTTGATTCAAAGGTCATCTTAACCATGCAACATTATCAATCAATCCATCCATCTACACTGTTTTAGTTTACATAGCTGGTGTATTTGTTGTTAAATTTTTTGAAGAGTTAGTTTTAAACATCTACTATTATTCATGTATCCTAAATTCTAAATAATCCTAAGATGGAAATTTTTTTGTAATTCATTTATTGTACCTTTGATTGGTGTCATGCTTGTTAAGAAGTGAATCTAAGTTCGGAGTACTCTATATTGATGAAAGTGGTACTTCTTCGTGGT